TTTTGGTGTCGATCATTCGATTTCATCCTGGACACTACAGAAAATGGGCTAAAAGTGTTAAAAACCGGAATTCTCCTTTAAAAAAATAAATAAACTGAACGGGACAAAGGCCAAATAGATGAATAGCTCCCAAGTGAAAGCTCTATGTTACGTCGAGTTTAATGTATAATGTTCATGTTCACTGTATGTAAAAAAGTGAAAAATACCAATAAAAAATTAAATGTAAAAAAAAAAAAAAAAAAAGTAGACAGTGTGTCTGCCTCACGGACTAAAACTGGATTTAACCGAAATTTTAACCGAATGATCTTAACCAAAAGACGCATCAAAAAGATGCAGGATAAAAAATCTCCTGTAAATGTTTTCTGTTCCATTCATTAAACCAAATTAAAGTTTTGGTATTTAGGAGGACACAGGGCTCCATATGTCCTCCTAACTACAGAAGGTTGAAATTATTTATGTTTTAGGGATTTTATGAATATTAAAGTCCAAACCACAATCATAAACAGTAGATTATTCTAACAATAATCCGGTTGAACTCTGCGGCTAAAGGAGCAATAATAAACCAGGCCGTAGGGGGCGCTGTTTACTTTACTCGTATCTGTTTCTCCACTGCTCTCCTTCTGTTTCCGGTTATGGAGGTCTGCTGCTAGTGAGGCTTTTAAAACGCATCTGGGCTCCAGCAGAGGATACATTTAAACCGGAGGGACAAATTAGGAGATAATCGGACCAAAATAAGTGAAGGTAAGGCCGCTTTCACGCAGACTGCTCAATGTTTTAAGGGTAACGCGGGTTTGAAGGTGAATCCTTATCGATCAAGGCCACAGGTGACGTTAGCATGCTAAGCTAGCACAACCAGCTGCGGAATATGGCGAATAAACAAGCGGCAGATCGTTATTGGTTTTAGTTATAACCCGCGGACGGTTAGCTGTTGAAGGAGCAGAGATGAGCTAATGAGTTAGCATCGAGGAGTGGATGAGCTAAAGGCGGTGTGATGCGGAGCTGCAGCAGCACAGAGCGACCATCAGGTTCAGAGGTTAACAGGACTGTAGAATCAGTCAGGAAGGAACTTGGTCCTAAGCAGATCTGATATAAATGAGATGAACAAGCAGCCATCGGGGATGACGACATAACGCAGAGGTCACGCGTGGAGTGGGGCTGTGGTGATAAAGGGCAGTTTTCTGGGGGTCCAGAATGAAACAGCTACAGCATCTGAAAAGCTGAGGTCGCTCCTATAGTTCAGTGTAAACATGATCAAAGCTCAGTCACAAGAAGATGAACATTAAATATAAATAAAATTTAAACACTTAATGATTAATTAAATAACCTTTATTGATCTCACATTGGAGAAATGTATGTCTACATTTAACCCATCCCCTTGGGGAGCAGTGTGGGGTTAAGGGTCTTGCTCAGGGACCCAGAGTGGCAGTCTGTGGGAGTGGGACTCAAACTCAGAACCTCGGGATCCCAAGCTCCATTTCCACCACTCAGAGTTTAAATAATCTGCCTTCACTTAATCGACTTGTAACTATATTTAAATGCATCCAGAGGGTTTCATCTGTTATTGGAATAACAGTTGGTCATTTATTTCTCCTGGAGGCATCATGGGTGAATTTTGGCTTAACTTGATGATCCAATAATTATTTTATAAACCTTCTATTCAATATTTAAATTCTCTATAGTAAAATCTCTCAGATGCAGGTTCTTTCATGTCTTTTAAATCGCTTTATTCTTATTCTATTGTTTAATCTATGGCATATTAAATATATACATTATTTTTTTTTTTTTTGTCTGAATTTTATTTCTCAGTCTGTGAGGCGGTGCAGTTTGGGTTTAATGAGTCATGTCAAACAAACTTATCTTTATTTGCTTTGGACTTTGAAACTAAAGAATGGGAGGAATCCCACACCGACATTAGAAATGTTCCTTTATCCTGTTCTTATTGCCAACACTCATTATCTCAACATTTAGCATTAAATGTAAAGGTTTTTACTTAATATTTCTTGCTACTCAGATGAAATCCTAGCCCTTTTTTGTTTTAGTTCTTCCTGAATATTGGGCATAAATCCAAAAATGTCTGTGACAAGCTAACTGCGACACACTGCTGCAGGGGGATAACCAGGCCTTAAGAGGGGCCTCCTTTATATGATTGTTTAATTGTAAGATCCATTAGAGCTTCTCAATGTTTAAATTTTAAATTAATACTGAATGGATTAACTTTTAATTGGAAGAAAAAGTCTCCTTTTATCTTGAAATGATCATTAATATCAAAAGGGCGTAGAAAGCTCCAGAAATCGCAGCCTGTTACTGTTCAGCAGGTTTTCATCTCAGTGGTTTTATGGAATTAAACAAGCTGATATTTCCTCTGTCTGTGGCTAAACTGTGCTGCTTCTGCACTTTTGCAGACCAATAACTCCAGAAAAATGACTTTGAATTGTGCTGCTGTGTTTTTAGATGCCTGTAGCTGTAGGTCCGTACGGCCAGACCCAGCCGAGCTGCTTTGATCGGGTCAAGATGGGCTTCATGATGGGGTTTGCAGTAGGAATGGCGGCAGGCGCCATGTTTGGTACCTTCTCTTGTCTCAGGTAAGTTTGGGCCAGAACTGAACCCCAAGAGAAGATGACATTTATTTAGAAAAAGGCACAGATCATCTTAATCTGTTAAAATTTTCTCTGCTGTTTATTATTTAGGATTAATTATGGTTTTAGTTTATTTTTCCTTTAAATCTAAACTAGACTTATTGTTTAACACGCCTCTAATTAGTTAAGTTAGTTAATTACTAATAGGTTTTCCTCATGCATGATTTCTTAGCCCCACTGGAAAACCTGCACTGATCTAATGTCATTATTTAAATAATTTATTTAACGTTGCTGTAGCTGAAGGAAGAACATTAACTGCTTTGAATCAAAGCTTTCTGATTAATGGAATCTCTCCTTTAATTATGCTGACATTTTGTTAGGAAGTGAAACCAGGACTAAGTTAAACTCTTTGCATGTTTGCAGGATCGGTATGCGAGGCAGGGAGCTGATGGGAGGCGTGGGGAAGACCATGATGCAGAGCGGAGGGACTTTCGGCACCTTCATGGCCATCGGAATGGGCATCCGCTGCTGAGGACTTCCTCCCCTTTCCTCCAACAACTGTACAGCCATGGGACTTATCAAACCGCAGCTCTCTGCCGGCTATCTGTCGCCTTCTCAACCCGCACTCTAGTTTTTGTCAATAAAAGTTCAGGTTTGTCCAATCACCTCCAGAGAGAATGTGTCATGTTTTCTGACGAGGCCACAGAACCAGATCATCCAACGTAAGGAGGAGCCAGAACTTATCACAGAGTTCTGGTCCGTTACAGTTGAATTTAGAGCATGAATTGGATTCATTAAACAAGATTATGCTTCAAATCTATATAAAAAAAAAAAAAAAACACGTAATTTTCAAAGCTAGAAAGAAAAGTTTGGTAGGAGCAACTTTTCTACAAAGATGTCTGAAAGTAAAGCTAGTCCAGGCTGTTACCTTGCGGTGCCGAGACGTCGGTTCCATCCAGCGGGTTAACGATGCCGGGGTAATCTTTACCAAACGACAGGTGTTTAATCAGATGCGTCATGTTGATCTGCAGCACAGCAGGAGGTGAGCAGAAAAAAACAGGTTTAAACTGAGCTGCTCAGTCAGAGGCAAACATCTTCAGGCTCCTCGTTTCCTTCTACATTAACTGAAGTTTAATTTTATCAATAAAAAAAAATATCTCACTATTACAGAATCACACAAATAGGAAACTTACATTATCTAGTCCAAAGCTCTGCAGGTCATGGACTGGAAAAAAAAAAGAATGAAACAATAATTAAAAATGATTCAAAAATATACAAAACCTTCATTAAAAGCCTAAAAAGAATCAAAATAAAGAAACATGCAGAATATTAACGAGCAGCTGATTTCTAAGGGAAAACATGGATCTTTAACGCGTTCCCCTTGGACAGGCTTTCAGCATCATATCGTTCAATCCTTCTGCCAAAGTAGTGTCTGACCAACAGAACAGTTTTAAATGGAAGAAAAAGTTTACTAAGAGTTAATCTGCAGAAACTGAAATCTGTAAATTTTATCCCCTAAAATTTACATTGAAGCAGAAATGTTCCACTTTCTTTGCTTTGCAATAGCATCAGGTTTGACATGTTTATAATTCAATAAAATAAGTGCAAATTTAAATATTTTACCTTATTTTGTCGTATTCAAAAACACTGCTAGAATCTGTAGCACGTTTTTATTTCATGAATTTTATATATATATATATATATATATATATATATATATATATATATATATAGATCAAAGGAAGTCTGACCATCTGTAGAACAGAAGAAACTGACAGAAAATCAGCTTTACAGCTTTTTTTTTAACATTTAAGCCAAATGAAGCTTTAGAAGAATGAATTTAAAGCAGAGGTTTGAAAACTGCAGCGGTTTGATCATCCGTCACTGATTGAAGATGATGGAAACATTAAACAGGCGGTCAGACGGCGGCTGATGGATTATTTCTCAGTAGATCAGCGCAGGATCTCCTCAAGCTCCACAGAAGTTAGACCGGAGAATTCTGCCCCGCTGCTGAAGCGCAGCGGGACAGAGACAGAGGATCTGGGATTTTGGGGTAAATCTGCTCCCCAACTTCTGAAAAAAGGCCGATGTGGCTAAAATAATCACTCCTCCTTAGAGGAGCCCAGTGAAGCTTCTGTCATCTGAACCATTTAAACCGTCAGGACTTTATCAAAGGAGCATCAACCTTCTACCTTCAGCACATTTAAAATCTTTCTGAAACGTTAAGTTCATAACTTCAGACCGATTTTAAAAAACTAACAAAGGAGGAAAATCAAGAGAAGCTTAACTGAAGATTTGCTTAAAGTTAAAAGTTTGTGTGAGAAAAGAGAATCTGATGAAATTAAGATGCAGATGACATCACATCCTGTCCGTCTATTAGAGTTAAATCAACAAGCTGCTGAATGAAGGAACCAGTTCAGATTAGTTAGGATGAAAACCAAACATGAATTTAACATCTATTAAACATCAGAGTCTTTATTTAACTTGTGTTTTTTATCAAAGAACAGTAAACTTATCAGAAACTGAGGCAAAAGATCTAAACAAACCAGATAAGTTTAAATTTTTATGCTGGAGCTTTTATCTATGGAGGACCAGCTCTGCCATATTTAAAAATAAATACATAAAAAAAATAAATGCTCAATAAATAAATAAGCATACAATTAATTGCCCCAAAAAATACAATAAATACATTTATTGAGCATTTATTTATTTTTAAATATGGTAGAGCTGATCCTTCATAGATATTAACTTAGAAACTTCAACACCGTAAAGCTCCTCCCGTCACACCGAGGACACTTTATTCACACAGATACTTTCATACATACTGCATGCATTCAAAGTCACATATCTGCAAAGGAAGATGGACTTACTTTCCACAGCGTGAACTGCAGAAAGAAGAGAAAAGAGTCACAAGAATAGTGCAGCAGACAACAAACCACAACGTGCGAAAGAGAGAGAGAGAGAGAGAGAGAGATTAGGCTGAAGGTGGAGCTGCACAGCTTTTCCCTTTAACTCTGATAAAAAGGTTTTCAGACATTTCTACACAGATCCACTGAGAATCAGATCAGTCAATCACCTCAAGAGTTGATTAAATTGAAAAAAATGATTTTACATCATATAAAAAAAAAAAATAATCTATGAGATTAACTACAAGTACTGTGCAGCTCAACCCACAGATTTTAAATGGAAGACATTGCTCTGGGACAGGAGGTGTTTTGGTCTGAATGAGTAGGAGGTTCTATTAGGAAGGAACTCCTGATGTGATTCTCATCTAATTTCTGCTGCAAAGACTTAAAATATAAACGAGAGCAACGAATGGAAAAATGTTCAGAGCTCAGCATGTAGGCATGTTTTGGCACAGGAAACTAAAACCAGTGCAGAGGATCCAGATTTAATCCCAGCTAAGACCTGCAGCCAATCTCGGTTAAAATCCCATCACAGGGGAGATTTTGAACAGATACCAACATTTGTTTGGGTTCTAGTTTTAATTTCCTGCTCTGATTTAAAGCTACAGGAGGAGGATTGTTGGTGCGTTTCTGCAGCAGCTTTGGAGATGAAAGATGGAATAATCTGCTGTGACTTCAGTGCTCTCCTAGTGACAGGATTACAGTGGTTACCAGTGGTTTTAGATCATTTTAAAACAAAATGTTTGTTTTTCCGTCTGATCAGGTTTCCAGATTTTTAAAGCAGCTCCTTACAGGCAAAGATGGCCTCTATGGAGCCACTGCAGAACTGGGTCCAACAGCTTGGAGCTATTCAGGGTTTTAACAACATTAATCAGATTAATCGTGATTATTTCAGGGTTTATACAGGAATGAGTAACTTAAGTTTAATGCTCTTAGAAATCATTTTAATGCCATCAAAAAGTACCCATAATAAATATAAATATATATTTATTTATACACAACTTTTTACAGTCCCTTACTATTACTTTTTGGTTGTAGATACACCTGTAATAATATTTATATCCTGTATAGCACTTCTGGACAGATGCAAACCACATTTTGTTGCTTTGTACTCATGACAGTGCAATGACAAAGTTGAATTCTAATTCTAATATATATATATATATATATATATATAAAAAACACGGTAAAATCCTTCGTCATCTTTACCTTCTTGTTTTCCTTTTTCCCATTCCCTAGCTTTAAAATATATCGCAATATAATATATCTGATGAAATTTTATTTTTTTAAATAAAGCATTTTAAAAAGCATTTTTAATGCTACTATAAATTAAATTTAATGAATTTAAAGCCAATTAAGGCCTTAATTTAAGAGATAATAATTTAATGACCTGCAGAAACCCTGTAATTGATTATTGAAATAATCGTCAACTAATTCAATAATTGATTAATCGTTAACGGGAGAATAGAAATTCTAGAACATACCTTTAGCCTTCAGAGTGACCCAATTAGAGCAGTAATTATACCAAAATTGTGAAAATAAATCTATAAATATTTAGCATTTAAGATTAAAAAAAAAGTTTTCTCCTTTCATTATGCTCTATAATCCAGAACTCCACCAACTGAAAAATGTTAATTTCACCTGGTTTAATTCTGTATAAATTCCTCTTTAAAGAATCTTTGGCAATCCGATTATTAACAGATGAATCGAAAAAATAACCAACAGATTAATCGATTATGAAAATAATCCTTAGTTGCAGCTCTAATCCATACCTGCTCAAAATGGAAGATTAATATTTGTTTGGAAACACTGAGGTGCTGGAACATAAAGACTTATTGCCTGTTGCTTTTCTTTATTACAGAATTACTGCTGTAGCTCTACTTGTTATATTTCTGATATCCTTTTTCTAAAATCATGTCAGTTCCTACGATTGCAGATCAGTTTATTTTTGCTAAAAAGATTTCTGGTTTCTGATTTTATTTTCTAACCAAATTAACCATAGAATCCATAGCAAATGTTTGTTTTTGTTTTATTTTCCCACCTAGGAGCAGCTCATTAACATCGTAAAGGCTGAAATGATACTTCAAATACTTCTACAAGTCCCAGTTAAGTTGAAGAGGCACAGAGGATGTACCGTAATTCTCGGACTATTAGCCGCACCTGAAGCTAAATTGCATGATTTAGCCGCACCGGACTATGAGCCGCAGGTTTTTTTATGTTTAATGTCCGTCTTTCTCGCTGTTGTTCTGTCTCATACCACTCGCGGTAGAAGTCTGCTTCCAGAGGACCTCCGCATTCCCGCGCGCGCGGCTACCGTACTTGTGTTTTGAAGCAAATGTGACGTCAACATGGCGGATGGTAAAATCCGTAGGTTTAGGTATTACCCTAGTGGCCGTTAGCTGTAAAAGTCCATAGAAAAGCCGCAAGGTCAACAAATGGGGAAAAAGTTGCGGCTTATAGTTCGAAAATTACGGTATATAAGAAGCAAGGAGAGAGGAGAAGGAAATTCAAGCCCCCTCCTCCATCAATCAATCATTCTGTAATCTGTGGTGGACAATTTGATCTACTCTACCATTAACTGCTGGATTAACAGCATCAGAGCAAATTCCTGAAAAAAAAAAACCCTCAACAACTGATAAAGAAGGCCGGCTCTGCTCTAGGAACTCCTCTAGAACCTCTGGAGACGATTTTACAAAGAAGAATTATTCATAAAATGAAGAACTTTCTGAGTAACATCTGATAAAAAGGCGCCATTAACAGCAGAGGGCGAAACCCTGCTGGGGTTAGCCTGGTCAGGGCAGGACGGCGGCGATGGATGAAAGAATGTATGGTGAACATTTTAGGACATCCTCAGGCCTTAAGTTATTAGGTTTCAGGGAGAAAAAACAACCTTTTCGTTCTCTGGTCTTAGGAATTTATGTCTTAGGTGTGAAAAGAGAGAGCTTTTATTCTTGCACTGGAAAAAAAACGATCTAGAAATGAGTAAAAAT